GGGACTTCTCTGAAAATCCATCATCTTCCAAAATTACTGAGCACAGTAGACAATGAGCACAAAGTACGTTGCCAGCTTTCAAGATCTAGGATCCTTGTGCTATTGCACCTCCCTGACGTCAAAACTGATAGCACAAACTAGTATGTGACCTGTACACATTCTCAATCCCATTATCTTTAGCAGCATGCTGAAGAACCCCCCCCAAGATACTTACATTTTGTCTCCTGAAAACCAATTCTGCCTTTCACTATATTCAATACCTATATTTATTAACTTTTTTCCCTTCAGCTAAAAGGGCAGGGGGGGAAGAGTGTTAGAATACCATGCTTGGGACCTGCTGGAAGAAGAGTGCTTGAGAGCAAAATCAAGTAACTTTGGAGCTGGCTGTACCATGTTGCCTGGCATACCAAAAAATGCTACAATTAAATTGAACTAATTAGATTTTTTTAATCAGTTAGAAAGGTCACATATTCCATTCAAAATGAAAGACAAGAGACTCCCCTGGACCTCATAACATTAAAACAAGTTCCTATTCTATCAGTTAAGCATTCCAGAGAAGTCATATCTATACAAAATGCAGTGACAATGTATCAAGCATGCTGCATCTAGTCCACAATAGTCCCTGAACCACTACTTGTTAAACTCCTCTCCCAAATGCAACCTCTATATATAGCTATGGAACAACGTTTTAAAATGTGAACAGACCACGCCTATTCAGATTTCTGTATGAAGAGAGACACAATTACCCATCCATCTTAAATCAACATTTTGGGGGAGGGGGGGGGAGGGTGTTAAAAAAAAAAGTTTTTTTAAGAAGTTAAACTAGCAGAACATCAACTCCCCAATAAAAAAAAGCAGTAACCCTGATCCTCTGCATCCAATCTCTCTCTCCCGGGAAAGCAACGTTCTATGAATTTTCATGCCTATTAATTTGCAACCAGAAATGGTAAATCAAGAATCCTATTTAATAATAAGGGAGAAAGATCTGCTTTATAAGGAACTTTCCACTGCACAGCAAGCTTATCTGATGGAGGAAAATGTTTTGGCCTGCAAGAGCCATGGGCCCTGTACCTTGTCACATCAATATCTAGTTCTTATCCCTCCTGTCTAAAAGGGAAAAC